TACTTTTTACTTCACTACATTTCATAAAACATATCGTTACTCCTTATAATATATCACGTGCTCTGACATGCAGAAGCGGTGTCTGATTCAAGAACGAACTGATTCTTTTCAATTAACCTTTTAAATCGGTTCGCAAATCGCACCAAACGATTCATTCACGAATTGGAATGAACCGATTGCAGTTGTTCTCGAGTCGACAACTCACTGATTCAAATGAACTGTTTAGTGCGAGTCTCCAGTCCAGTGAGCTGAATTCACAAGTAAGAACCGGGAGATCTTGTGAGCACGCGCGCGACTGATGCTGCTAAAATTAAGTTACTAATTTCGAATTTTAGGATTAATTATTGTAACTGAATATCAAGGTCAAAACTGGACAAAATCTGCTGTAAAGGGTGATCTATTTAAGCCCGCTGAAATGCTTGAATGCAGACACATTAACATCAGTGTCGATATGTTTTAGGTAAAAAAAAAAACTAAAACATTAAAATAACACAGACTAAATAAAATAACTCATGCACGTTCATATTCCCTGCTGCTGTAATGTTAAGTTTTATTAAAATGCTATGCATTTAGCCTTATGTGACGTCTGTTTTATTGTTTATCAACAGTATAAATGTTTATATTGTTTGGATTAACTAGCTGAGTAGACGGATATGAATGTTTATTCATAACCATACTGAAAATAAGTAAATATTGTTAGCTGATGCTAACTGTCCAGCTAACAAGCTTGCTGGTGCTAAGTTGAGGTAATTTTTAGATATAAGTCCAAATATTTGTATTCAACCACCTAGATAGATTACATCTGGGGGAAAATAAAGGATGTGATGTGCAGAACATGGTAACTACAGTAATTATCAAAGTGGGAAGTGATGCCCTCTGGGGGCATTTGGCCTGGGGTGTTTTTACACCACAGACAAGGTTTAAGAAGAAAAAAATCATGAAAATATAATTATATTTTCCTTAAAATGTTCTTCCTAATTTCAGGCCTTATTCTCATGTCATATATAACCGTGATGTTCTGCAAAACAACAAGTTTTAAAACACTTTTTTCTTACTGGTGAAAATCAGATGGTCAAATCTGTTTTCTCTCAGGTACATCGCAGTGTAAGCTTCACAGTGAATATTACTACATCACTCTCGTCAACGTAGTCCATATCAACAACAAAAATATAAGTGGTTATTTTGGAAAAATCCCAGGTATTTTGAGCTGTAGGATTTAAAAAATATATGTGCTAATATAAAATTAAATTAAGTAGCCTATATAAAATTGCAAAATAAATCTATCTATCAGTACTTTTTTTTACTTAAGTACATAAAAAAAGAGTACTTTTGTACTTTCACTCGAGTAAAATTGAAAAAGGAGTACTTTTACTTTTACTGGAGTAATATTTTATTATACGTATCTGTACTTTTACTCAAGTACTTGATTTGTGTACTTCATCCACCACTGACGATTTAGTTTTAATCCAAATGCATGCGCTATTGGAACAGCAATCAAGATCATGCAACAGAAGTGCGCGCTCTCTGACTCTCTCTCTCGCTTTCCTTACCGTCAAATAACTTTAGTAACTTGTGCATTGTTTTACTTATTTGCTTTTGACATATCCGACCGAACTACAAACTTTCCAGTGATGTCTATGATATGAATATATCATAGACATCACTGGAAAGTTTGTAGTTCTGTCGGATAAGCTCGACAAGCTCGCGCATCTGTGCCGCCGCGCGCTCAATTCACTCAGCGTGCTCTGCTTATCAACTCGCGCACATCCGCTATACAGGAGTGAATGTTGAATGTTTAACATTATATTAATTACTTACATGTACTTCATATACATCCTTAATCTCTAATAACTCCATTCTACTCTCTGTTGTTCTGTTTTCAGTGGGTTTTGTTGTGGCAAAAACAATTATTAACAAATAGCATCACAGTGTAAGAGACAAGGAATCAAATTATATTTAAGGAAAGAAGTTTATTTTCCTTAAAGAGGTATGTTCACAATGTTTCAGCAGCTACCCTGAAACACAACAGACCTAAAATCGCACTGAAAACAGACAGCCTTATTATACTGTTATCACCCCCCACTTCTTACAAGGTTCCTTCTCTGTAATTTTCCACTTAACCCCGTAAACCAAACCTAGCTGTTTTCAGAAAAAACAATGGTCCTTCTAACCCCCTGGGCTTTTATTATCTTCACATCTGTGAGGTCAACAACCCCTCTGTCTTTCCTGCACTAAAGAGTTCAAAGGCTCTTTCTGATCATTTGTTTTTTACTGTGTGTTTGTGTGCCTTCACACCCGTGAGGTCAAAGGTCTTTATTTATGAACCCCTCTGTCTTTCCTGATTAAATTACCCGCACTAAAGACTTCAAAGGCTCTCTGTTTTACTGTGTGGTGTCTTTGTTGCATTCCAGGTGACATATATATACATATTGAGAGAGAAACACAAGTTAAATAGAAAAATATATATAAATAAAAACCCACAATGTCTAAGAAAGTAAATAAGAAAGAGTAAAACATTAATTTTCCTACAACAGTTTTTTTCTGGACACAGCTCTATTCACACTCTGTGTGGTATCGGCTTTTGGTATGGGGGCATTTTTACCGAGTACAGGAGCGCAGTATAGGGCATCCCTAATTTTAAAACATTCTCACCATGTTAATACATTTATTTCCGAAATTTGGTTTAAACAAAAATTGGTGCTCTAATGAATCAAATGCTTTATAAAAATCCAAAAACATTATAATAGAATCTGAATCAATATTCTCTGAATAGTCAATGAGATAAAGTACAAGTCTTATATTGGAACTAATGTGTCTATTCTTCATAAACCCATTTGTGTTCCGCCAATTATACTATTAAGACCAGATTTTAAATGAGTTGCAAATATTAAAGCAAGTAATTTATAATCAACTTTTAACAATGATATTGGTCTCCAGTTTTCAATTAAAAGTGGATCTTTATCTGATTTGGGGATCAAAGAAATTAGTCCCTGCTTCATTGTGGGTGTCATCTCTCCTTTGTGAATACATTCTTTAAACAAACAATATAAAGGCTGCTTTAAGAGGTCCCAAAAATGTAAATAAAATTCAACAGACAGGCCATTAGTACCTGGAGATTTTCACCTTTTTATAGATTTCAGTGCCTCTTCCATTTCAGTAATAGAAAGGTCAGAGTCACATAGTAATTTAAAATCCTCATTAATACCGGAAACTTTATCACAAACACTGAAAAGAAAAGATTAAAATTTTTGTATACAAAGTATACAATTCTTTGTAAAAGTTGTATACAAAAGTTGAGATCATGCCTGGATCTGTACATAAATCACCGTTAATCTTTAGGGCAGAGAGAGCTTTTTTTTTTCGATTTATTTTTTCTAGAGCAAAAAAGTAATTAGTGTTTCATTCACCCTTATTGATCCATTTTGCTTTAGAACGTATGAAAGCCCCTTAAACCATCTCTGTATACATATTTTACATTTTCATTTGACAGACACTATATTCTACCTCATCTTCTTTACTGGGATTATTCTTCTGCATTAACACACCTAACCTATGAATAAGTTCAAATTCTTTATTATTTTTCTTGTTCTCTTGGGTCATTCAGTGTCAATTCAACCAGAGGTCCCAGCTCAAATGTTTGAATTTGCTAATGTTTTTTTTTCTGACGAAAGATAAACATGTATAGTGATGATATCCAAAATATGAAATGTCATGGATGAATATTTCCTGAGTAATCCACTGGTAGGATTAGTAAACAGACTAGTAGGTCTGCTAGTAAAATATGTTGACTTTACCAATCTTTGTTGCATTATGCGCCAATGGTGACCGTTCATAAATGGGGAAAGAGCACTTTTCAAGTTTTTTTTCTCCAAAGTTTGCATGCCTGTAACTCAAAAATTATTAAAGATATATTAATGCCCTTTTAGATATTGGATCTTAACAAACTTCCCTTCTTGCATCTTCATTTTTTGTAAGGCCCTATATGGTTCGGTTCCAGAGATAATGGAATTTCAATATTGCTCCAGGAGTAGGCTAAATTACATTGTACACATTTTCAGTGGTCAAAAACCAAATGTGGGTAATTTTGCAAAAATATGATACTACTTTTCTTTTAAAGAGGAATGTCTGAAGAACAAATAATGTTGAAACTACAAATGTATCTTGTTTCCTTCTGTCCAAACAACTGCATTGAACATACCTGTCTGAGTGCCATAAGTATTCTTTTTTCCAAAGTTTGCGTGCCTATAACTCAAGAAGTATTAAAGATATTGCAATATGGTTTTAGATTCTAGTTCTTAATAAACTTTTCTTTTGGAATCTTCATTTGCAAGGCCCTACATTGGTCAGTCCCAGAGATATGGGGATGTCAATGAGGCTCCATATTCAGATAGTTGAATAATACCCATTTTCAGTAGTTGAAAACCAAATGTTGATCAACCACCTGACTAGTTGACAAGTCACTTTTGTATACAGCCGATATTTATTTTATTTAAAGAACAATGTCTGAAGAATAAATAATTTTGAAATAAGAATTGTATCTTATTTCTAGAGCCCGACCGATATGGTTTTTTTGGGGGCCGGTACTAATATTAGGGAGTAAAAAAGACCGATATCGATATATCGGACGATATTCTTTGTGTAGGTTATATTATAGTACAGTATAGTCAAAAGTTTGGACACTTCCCATTCGTGTGTCCAAACTTTTGACTGGTACTGTATATATAATACAGTATATAGCCTACA